TGAAGTGATATGATCTCTATTTCCCAGTGGGGCAAAGCTTTTCCATTCATGTCTGACAGACATTGAGAAATAGACATGGGAGAGCAGGGGTGTCACAGAGAGAGCTCATGAGGAAATCCGTGACCAAGTGGACCTGTCCTGCAGGAATGAGGTCCCCACCAGTCAGGAGGAAAGAGGCTCTCATCCCTGCAGAGGGGCAGCCTTTCCCTCTCTCTCACCACCAATGCCCAGTGTCTCTCAGGCATGCTGGCCCGAGACTTCCTGCAGAGGATCCCAATGTCAATTCTCATCTGTTCTCTCAAAGTTAGGATCTGTAATTGATTATCTTACTACATGAGGAGAAATCTCTTTATGGTTACCTAATGTTAACCAAATCACTTTCAGATGAAAAATACAAATGCTAGCCAAGCTTGTTGGCATAGCTCCCTAATCCCACATCCTGGATAAACTGAGGCAGGACATCCACAAGTTCCCAGATAGCTAGGCAATTTGAGGAGACTGCATTTACCATAAAATTTTTAAAGCCCTGGAGATGTGCCTCAGTGGGAGTGTGGTCACCTAAATTATGCAAGGTTCTGGCTTCAGTTCTCAACAATGTAAAAAGAAAAATAAATACTATATGACATCAGTCACATTTTTGATGCAAAATAAGTGAATTACATCAAAACAGCTATAACATGGTGATCACCAGGATTCCTGATTGGCAGGAAATGGGGAGAAGTATGTTAAATGGTTCAACTTTTCATTCAGGTAGGATACATGATTCTAGCAATCTAAGGCACATTCAAAATGATAGGTTATAATATCACATTTCATACTACATTTTGGAAAACGTAAATTGTAGTTGCTCATGAGGCTCGCTCAGAGGCAGGGACTATGGAGGGTGCTTTATAGGAGGATATGCTAATATTCTAATTAATGCTTTGCATCTATCTAATCACTGTAGTTTCCATCTACATACACAATAAAAATCATAAAGAAACCAAGCTAGGTTAAAATCATCTCTGGAGTCATCTAACTAAAATCATGGCAATGAAATCACTTTCCTTAATGTGATGTGCAGTTCTTGTAGCTGATCCAACACTACCTCCATGGTTTCCAACTTCATTCTCCACTGGACTCCTTCTGTGTACCCAAGCCAAATGCAGTGCCTTCAGTATCAACACTTCATAAGTCAGGCATTCATTCGCTCACATCCTCAGTGCACAGCACTCTAGATACTCAAAAGTTACATGACTGCAAAAATCATGTTTTCTACTTTGTCAAAATTATTAGAAATATCATACATAAGCAACTGTGAGCTCAAATCATGAACTGTACCTTTTGTTCTATTTGTGTACATCCAGATATCACAGTAATAAAATGTGACATTGCAGAGCCTTGTAATCTTCCTTTTTATTGTTGCCTTGTGGACCTATTTTCTTTTTGTCCTCAGGAATTCTGAATCTCTGGTTTTTTCACTGGGTGTTGTTCACTGATTATCTGATTTTCACGAAACTTACTTCCATGTGTTGGCTTCCCTAATCTCATTAAAAGAAGTGAAAGGAAAGAACACAGCAGTGCAAGAAGAAATGAGAAAAGTGAAATCACGGGGAACATCACGGAAATTGAGAGGATTATTAGTGATTATTTAAAATACTTGTCTTCAAATAAATTGGACAATCCAGAAGAAATTAATAGATTTGAGATATTTATAATTTATGAAAAGTGAACCAAGAGCAAAAAACACCTTGAAATACCTCAGGAACAGGCAAAGATATTGAGGCACTAATAAAAACCCACCTGCTAAAACAATCCAAGAGGTGATGGATTCACCACTGGTTAAACAGGAACTTTAGGGAAGACCTTGCACAAATACTCTTCGGTCTCTTCAATGAAACTGCAAAGAAGAGAAAAGAGCACTGTCTAGCACATTCCTGGAAGCCAGCATTACCGTGATTGCATAGCTGGACAAGATGTCACCTGAAAAGGAAAACTGCAGTCCAATCTCACCAATGAACATGGTGGAAAGACCCTCAACAAGGTACTGGGAAACAGAATCCAAATCACACATTAGGACTGTGTAGGCTTCATCCCATGAAGGCAGGGATGGTTCAGCATTTGGAAATCAATAAATGTCATGTATCACATGAACAGAAGGAAGGACAAAAATCATAGGAGCATCTCAATAGACACAGAAAAAGTTTTTTGTAAACTCCAATGGCTGTTGACAATAAAAATCCTGAAAGAAATAGGAATCCTGAACAAATAAGAATCAACGGACCTCATCTCAATCTGACAAAAACATTCATACCAAATCTACTGCCTGTCAACAATGTATTTGGCCTGGGATTTAGCTCAGGGGTTTGGTGGCCTGCCTCACAAGCACAAGGACTCGAGTTTGATCTCTGGTACAAAAAAAAAAAAAAAGGTATCAAATTGATTTTTTTCCTGAAATCAGGAGGAACAAGACAATTATATCAATTACCACCACTCCTGTTCAATATAATGCTCAAAATTTCAGCCAGGATGATCAGGCAGCACACACACACACACACACACACACACACACACAATAGCAGAAGAGGAAGCAAGACTACTTTATTCTCAGATGACAAGATCCTTTAATAGAAGACACAGTATTACACCAAAATGACTTCTAGAATTAGTAAGCAATTTCAGCATGGTATCAAGATATAAAATCAACATGCAAAACTCAATAGTGGTCCTGTACACTAGTAATGAAATCACTGAGAAACAAATTTTTAAAACCATAGTATCCATAATGGCTTCAGAAAAATTGAACAATTAGGAATTAATCCAACTGAGGAGGTAAAAGAATTTTACAATGCATACTACTATACTCTGAAAAAAAGATGGGAGAGAACATCACAAAATGGGAATATATTTCCTATTTCTGTATCTTCAGTACCAGTGATATTTAAATGTCCATTCTTAACACTCGCATGTGCATTTAGTGCAACAGCAATCCAACTCACATTAGCATTCCTCACAGAAAAAGAAAATAGATTCCTAAATTGATATAGAAACAAAAGATCCCCAGATTAGCCAACGGAAATATCCAAAGAAATCCAGGGCAAAGAGTAAACAGGAAGAAACACAATTCCAGATTTCAAGTTATATTGCAATTCTAAGAATCTGGGAAGCACATTATTGTTAACAGATGAATGGCGAAAGAAAATAAAGAAGTTATGTGAAGTGGAGGACTACTCTTCCATAAAGAGGGATAAACTTGTGTCATTTGTAGGGAAATGAAAGTAATTTGAGATTATAATACTGAGCAAAATAAATGAGATACACAATCTTAAATATTATGTGATTTCCCTATACGAAAATCCAAAGTATAAGTAATTCAGTGTAAAATGAAATATAGCTAATAGGAAATACTGAGGGAGAGATCTTCTGTGAAAAGAAAGAAAATCAAAGGATGGAAGGAGGTGACAGGAAGACAAAGAGAAGGTGACGTGAAAAGCATTCCTATGCATTGCGTACATGAACCAATTTCCCACAATGAACGTAATCCTTACATACTGCAAGCATGCGGTAAAAATGTTTGAAAGAAAAAATAAATTCATTACACTCTCATCAGTAAGGATATTGCAAAATCTGTGCCTTTGGACTTCTGGAATTTCCTTGGTAAAGAAAATTAAAAGCACAAATATTTTTAAGTCCTTCAAAAGAAAAAAATAATATCATTTTCTAAAGAGGAGGCAAAATTATTTCATTTCTGAGAAATTCACTTTACACTTTATGGCTGAGGCTGGCCCTGAACTCATTATGTAGCTCAGGCTGGCCTTGAACTCCTGGCAACGCTCCTGCCTCTACCTCCCAGGTGCTGGGTTAAGAGGAGTGAGGCACCACACGCAGCTTCATAATGTTCTTTGAGTAATGCACTTCCATATCCATAGTAATGTCATTTGATGATTGATTTAATAAGAAAAACTCACTTTATGGCTGAGGCTGGCCCTGAACTCATTATGTAGCTCAGGCTGGCCTTGAACTCCTGGCAACGCTCCTGCCTCTACCTCCCAGGTGCTGGGTTAAGAGGAGTGAGGCACCACACGCAGCTTCATAATGTTCTTTGAGTAATGCACTTCCATATCCATAGTAATGTCATTTGATGATTGATTTAATAAGAAAAACTGTTTCACAATTTTATGGGCAGTTTGAAAAGAAAGGAAAAATTCGAACCTATATAATATTAATTGTGTGACACTATGAATTTTTAGTTGGGTTTTTATCAAACTAATTTCACTTTCATGTACTTGTATAAAAAGTGGGAAATGATCAGTACGTACAGGTGTGTCATCCCCATGTAGGCCTTGAGTTACAGCGTGGACACCAAAGGCTGCAGGACAAACCAGAGCTGCATAGTCCAGGAAGGTCTGGATGAACCTGCCTGGTCCTCCCCAGGGCAGCCTGCAGAGATCTCAGTGTCCGCAGGGCTCTGTCCTCACCTTGGCCCCAGGCCAGGCCATGTCCTCAGTGACTGGCTCTCCTGTTGGTCTCACTGGACCTTCTCTAGGGTCAGGGCAGTGCTGAGACTCAGTCTGCAGCCACAAGAGGAGGGACCCTGGCTGCTGCTCAGTCTCCCGGAGGTCTCTGAGATGCCAGGTGGGGTGAGATGTTTATGGGTACATTTGTCAGCGCAGGACTCAAGGGGTCCACTAGGAAGCACGACTGCTCTGCTGTGACTGTGGCCTCATGGTGGACCTGCGAGCTCAGGAGATCTGGGAGAGGTGGGCAGGTCCGGGGTGACAGAGCAGAGTGGACTGACCCGCTGGTGTCCAGCTGAGTGCTGTGGAGGGAGGTCGGGGGCAGGTGGCACTGACCGAGCTTCTGACTCCTGCTGCTGCTCTTTCTTTCACTCAGCTTCCGGGCCACCTGGACCCGAGCCACTCTGCTTCTTCTGCCTCTTCACCACGCGCTTCCTGACGTGAAGCCAGCGCCCAGCAAATGCAGCCGGGAGCCACGCGGACCCTCTCTTCTTTGTGGTGTGGGTGTTGGGTGTGTTTTCCAGCAAGTGCAAAGCTGATCGGTGCCTCAGCGCAGGGAAGAGGTGAGTGGTGCGAAATGGGACGGCCTGTGGTAGAATCCTAATTCTGCTTTTATATATTTCATGGAAGGAGAAATTCAGTCACGTGCCTGAGAGAATTTAGCTTCAGAAACAGACTGGAGGTTGAACTTGAGACGAATCACTATACTTTTCATACTACTCTCTAGCACAAATTCTATGGGATGAGGTGCAGAGGACGGAAGCTGATCTGAGAGCTAATCGTGAGTCTGTTCTCTGGACGGCGGCAGTGGTGTCAGTGGACGCACCGAGAGCCCTTTCCACGGCACGTGCTGTGCATGGGCTCTCGCGACAAGGGACGAACAGATTCAGCACTTAGAGTCACAGTAAGGACAGCAGTTCGTTCCTTTTTCCTTTTAAGATCTTGTTCTGTTTTGTTTACTCTTGTTTGCTTTGAGATGAGTGATTACCTGCACACATACAATCTTAACACTGTCGCCTGCTTTCTATTTTACCTTCCCTGAATCCATTATATGGTGCTCAACTCCCTGACAATTATCATTATTTCAATATGAAAATATGTAATGGACCTTATGGTAAAAGCAAAATAGTCTGGTTAAAATGAACACACTGCAAAGTAATAACTTAGATGTTTAAGTTTAAAAAGTCCTTTGGAAGTGATTCTGGCAACCAAACACATAGTAGTTGTGTGATAGTTTTCCCAAGGTTTTATGCAGATTCAATTTGTGCCAAATTGCAGTGCCTACAATTTTACTTTTTAACTTTCCTATTGTTTTGATTCCTGTTCAGAACACACAGTTTCAGATAAGTAATAATGAATCTGCCTTACTGAGCATGCAAAGTTCTTTTGAGAACAGAATGGGCGTGGTTCCCAGAGATGTACTGCTCTCAATCCCACTGTGCACTCATAGTTGCAAACTACGTTACGTGGATGCTGATGATTTGCTGATGGGGACAGCAGCATCCGTGGGACACTCTAAACCTCACACTGTCCAGTGTCCTGGGCCGAGTCCCTCCCTGAGTGTGCAGGTGTGTGTAGGCATCCACCTCTGTGTCTCTGCACACTGAGAGACCTGCTCAGCCCAGGTTTGCCTTTCTAAAGGTCAGGGGCTGGATTAGAGGCAGATTTAGAGCTCATCTTTCTGCCGTGCACATGTACAATAAAGCACAGGTCCTTCTCAGCCTAGAAAAAAATTTAGGGGATATATTAATGAGATAGATTTCAGTGTATCAAAGAATGTTTTTCTGCCTCTTCACCTATTTATTTATTAAATGTTTATTCATCATTATGGAACTTCCTCCAGGTGTATAACTTAGGGACACACAAAAATAATTGCTGGGTTGCTCAGTCTTCTTTATACCCTAAAAACCATGCTTTATCTCATTCTAGACAACTGAAAAAAAATGGAAGCAAATGTTAAGTAAGATCAGTAATTAGTCAGTAAAATGAAAAAGAAGACTGGGCACTCCCCTCCCTTCTCCATTGGAGTCTCAGGAAACACAGCAGAGAAGGGGAATCACACACACACACACACACACACACAGACACACACACACACACGTGAAAAAGTTCCTTCCTGACTTCTGAGATTCTATAGCAGTCATTTGACAGTGTGGTGAGCTCCAGTTCACTGTGGTGAGGGCAGAATATGTCTCAGTATAGGAAGGGACACTCAGGCAGGACCAGCTCTGTGCACAGAGCTGTGGCTGGCTTTCCAGAGTCAGAAGTTCAAGGCCCTCCCCACCCCTGACCCAACCTCAGGTTGACCTGTAAGCTAGGAGGGTCACGTTATGGGAGACAGGAGCACGGGTCAAGTCAGGTACCCTGAGAGAGAAAAGTGACTTCGAGTTCTGCAAAGCAGGTTGATGGTGTCATGCTTGTGAGAAACACGCCTTTGTTGATTTGATTAGTGTTTAAGTCTTTCCCAGGTTGTTTCATGTAGAGGCCTTTTAGTTTGAGTCTGTGCTTTCATAGGAAACTCCCTGCAATGTGAAATGAAGGAAACCTATGGTTTGCTAAATTCAGTCTTGCTGAACCTCTGTAAGTGATCAGAACAGATGCAGTGAAAGCAGCATTACTGTGTAAATTCCTGTCTCTCAGAATCCTCTACACACAGAGAGCAGAGGGGCGGAGGCTGTGCTTCTGCAGAAACTGCACCGTGTGGACTCTAGGAGGAGCTGCTCCTAGGTTCCTAGCTCTTTCTCTTGGTTCCTCTATGGCCACCAATGACTCAAGTGTCTGTGCTTCTCTTATTCCTGCTATGAAGAGGAAGATATACTTGAAAAGTCTATTAATTTATCACTACAGAAATCCAAGAAGAGGTGTTCTTGTCATCTTATTTTCTATTCTAAATAAAAGAGTAAGAAAAAGAGGTCTATGGAATGAAATGATGCAGTCAACTACAAATGACGATAACACAGAATTCATTTTCTTTCATGGGCAGCATCTGGGGAATTATGTTTATGATGCTGAATATGCACCTGATTTTCACTGGAGATCATGGGGTCCTGCTCTGCCCCCAAATTCTCCTTTCAGGGACAGGTTATCACAGGGATTGAGAAATACGGTCTTATTTAGATGCTCTGAAGACATTATTCTTTGTTGATATTTATATTTGTGATAGTATTAATTGGAAAAATAGTAAAACAAATTGATAAAAAATACACAGTAAAATGCCAAAGTGGATAACTTTTACACACTAAGGTAATTATCTTGCACAGAAAGATTTCCACATACTTTCTGAATAATTTAGCTCCTGTAGAAAATTTTGAATTAAATGTATTTTTTCTCTTTCTTTTTTAATTATTGCAATGTGAACCACCCTTCTTCCCAGATTACTTCCCAAAGACATTATAAATATTAACACACATTTAAAGCATTTTCAAATTGTTTCCATGCATTTGCATATGGAATATAAAAATGTATAAATGTACAGATGCTGTATGTATGTGTGTGGATAGTTACGTGTGCATGCGATTACACTTACATGCATACTTTATACACTCTGGGGCATGTGGGTATTGCACTAGAACAGCTCACTTACAATCCCTGCACCTCAGTTTTCTCAGCTATAACACATCTCTGTACATGTCAACCTAAAGGGACTAATACTTGGGTCATAACCACCTCAGCTCGGGATGGACCCTGTCACTTCTTGGTCACCGGGTGAGGACAGCCGGTGACGGCCCTGCCTCCACCTCTCCTCCCAGCAGCACAGAGTTCAGACCCAAAGCCTCTGTTACTCTGCTGCCCGACTTTCTGTGTGCCTTCCCTCCTGGTGAATGTCGGTAAGGCACAGATCTACACTATGCAGTTCGAGGGGAACTTAGAAAAGTGATGGAAGTGGACATGTTTACAGTGGCCTTCATGCAGATTACTTATATTTATTTCATGGAGCAGAAGAAGAAAAGGCTCCGTATGGAGAGATTTATTTATTCATGTATTTATAGAGTTCATTAAAGTTAGTGCTAGCCTGGTGAAATACAGTGGTACTTCAGCTCAAGAATTTGATTTGTTCTATGATTTTGGAAAAGAAGGCCACCTTTGTGCTTGGATGGGAAAAATGCCCATGGTCCTGTTTGTAAACCAAGGCAGAGTTTGAAAATAAAAACAAAATTATGCCAAAAACTTCGGTTTGCTAACCAAATTGTTTGCAAAAAAAGTGTTCATGGAAAAAGGTACCATTGTACTTCAATTAAGCCTGAGAAAATAAATGTTTAAGAAAAATATTGTGTATGAGTATATTAAAATTTATTTTAGAATGAAGCTAACATATGCATTCACATGGATTTTCTAGCATAAATTTAGGAAATAAATCAGAATTTGATGACTTTAGTATGTGGCATTAAGCCATTTAGAATGCTTGAAGTATAACAGAGATTTTATTGTCCTCTATTTTGATTTCTTTGAAAAGTTTTAGGTCATAAATTATTATAACAAAAATAGTAGAGTCTCTGTATGAAAATACCACAACTTTTGTCAAAATTTATTTTTCATTATGAAAGTAGACATTTTAAAAATAAATCACGGATTAGTTACTCTAGGGAAATTTTGAAAGTCAGTGATGACCTATACTTATTCACTGATTTGTCTGTTTAGGGTGAACCATACTGATTCTCAATGGAAAATTACAACCAGACCTCCACTGACTTCATCCTCCTGGGCCTGTCCCCCTCATCGAGATTTGGCCTTCTCCTTTTCACTCTCATGGTCCCCATCTTCCTGATGGCCCTGACTGGCAACCTGTGCATGGTCCTGCTCATCCTCCTGGACGCCCAGCTCCACACACCCATGTACTTCCTGCTCAGTCAGCTCTCCCTCATGGACCTCATTTACATCTGCACCACTGTGCCCAAGATGGCTTCTGGCTTCCTGTTTGGAAACAAGTCCATCTCCTTCATTGGGTGTTGGAGTCAGAGTATTTTCTTCACAACCTTAGCAGGTGCAGAAGCGCTGATCCTGATGTCTATGTCGTATGACCGCTACGTGGCTATTTGCTTCCCTCTGCACTACCCCATCCACATGAACAGAAGAGTGTGTGTGCTGATGATCCTGGGATCCTGGGCCATGGGTGTCATCAATGCCTGTACTCACACCTCATATGTATTCCACATGCCTTACTGTAGGTCCAGGACCATCGATCACTTCTTCTGTGATGTCCCAGCCATGGTGACTCTGACCTGTAGGAACACCAGGGTCTACGAGTACACTGTGGTTGTTAGCACTATCCTCTTTCTTGTGTTCCCTTTCCTGGGTATTCTGTGTTCCTATGGTCGTGTCCTTCTTGCTGTCTACCGCATGCACTCACAAGAAGGCAGGAAGAAGGCCTATTCCACCTGCAGCGCCCACCTCACTGTGGTGACTTTCTACTATACACCCTTTGCTTACACTTATCTCCGCCCAAAGTCCTTCCGTTCTCCATCAGAAGACAAGGTTCTGGCCGTCTTCTACTCTATCCTCACCCCAGTGCTCAACCCCGTGATCTACAGCCTGAGGAACAAGGAGGTGCTGGGGGCCCTGAGGAGAGTGGCTTGGAGAATCTGCTCTGGGAAAATGTAGGCAAATTTATGCCTCAACTTGTTGAGCAGACATTCACTAGAAACTCATTTCCTATTACAACCTCAGGAGTTAAAATTAATCTTAAAGATTTAAACTTCTTAAGATATGACATAACAAATGGGTGTGCAAGGTGATAACTTTTAATTTTTCTTGCTTTTTCCCCACCAAAATAATGAGCATATATTTTTCATTACTGTAAGAATGGCATTTTATTAGCATGAGCAAATGTAAAACAAAAACAAGGGAACCATTGCAATGTTTCAAATTATGAGATCTGATGCAAAATGCTGCTGAGTGTTTAAGTTTTAAAAAATAACACTATAAAAGGCACTGCCCTGAAGCCCCTCTGAACCCTTCACTTCAGGAGCATGCTTATCCATCCTTGTTGCCACTTTCTGAAGTGGTTCGCCACCTGTTTTCTGGTCATTAGTAGAGCTGTTATGACCCCCGTTATGTCCTGAATGGATTCAAACAATTGCCCTTCCGTGGTGATTCTGAACTTGGAGAAGGGCCAGAATTTGCCTGGTGCCACCGCTGGTGGAGAAAATGGATGAAAACACGCTTGGATGTTTTCCATCAGATTGTCCTGGTCGGCAGAATTCACTATATTTTTTATCTCACCTCTAACGATATAAAAAAGAGGTTTCTAGACCTGCATCAGAAGTGACAGCACCCAGATAAATGTGTCCCAAGTGAGGGCAACAATTTTGACAGGAATTGACTTCAATATGTATTTCTCTGATATCACTTTTTTAAAAATTAAACATATTACTTATACTGTGATTGCCTGTGGTATTAACATATTGATCCTACATTTCTGTATAACTTAATTTTAGCAAACAATCCCAAATTACAATAAAAATTTGTAAAAACAGCCGAGAACGACACGCACGCACTCATAAAGTGTGGTGTTCTCAGCTAGCACCAGCGACCTGCACAGACCAGGAGCATGGGCCCCGCTTCTGTGCGTCCATGTGCCAGAGTTTGCACTCTCACTGTATGCAAGGAGGGCACAGCCGGTGATGTCCCTGTAAACCTGGAACTGCAGAGAAGCACAGTTGCACCCACTTCACACATTTCATAAAGGAAATCCTCTCTGTTACTCATGTCACTCTCTGAAGAGCTAAACGTCTGCCTAGGGATGCCCACATCATTCTCATGATCTCCTGTCAATTTTGTCGAAACTTAAGCCTTGTACAATGTTATTATTTTAAAAAGCACATTAATAAATCCCATCAGTATCTGGGGTAAAACATTAATGATGTTTTTCATCTTAATTATTTTTGGGATACATTAAAGATATACAACATAATGACATCCATCTTTAGAAATTTACACCTTTATGTAATCCATCTTGGTTCACGTTTTTCCCCATTCCCCTGCCCTCCCTTCAGCCCCTCCACCCCTCCTATAGAGACTGTGTTTCCATTTTTCTTATTCTCATGTTTTCCCTTTCCCTTCTTTCCTTTCCCCTTTGCCTGCTACTTCCCCTACTTGCTTGGGAACTTTTCTTCTCATTTCACATCATGAATTTTACATTTTGGTACTTATTTACTCTTAGTATCTCATACCAAGGGAACTATTTGATATTTACACAGGTGGGTCTTATTTATTTCACTCAAGAATATCACCTCCATGGGCATCCATTCAGCTATAAATGTTTCTAATTTATCAGTTTTTATGGCTGAGTAGTATGTCATTATATTATTTTTAAAAGCACATTTTCTTTATCCAGTCTCCAGGTGATGGGCAGTTGGGCTGCTTCCAAGTTGTAGCTATTAAACATTGTGCCACTATAAACAAGAGTGCACATATATCACTGTGGTATGATTCTTTTCTTTGGGGAAGATACCTATCAGGGAAATATCTGGGTCAAATGAAACTTCCAATCCTAGTGGTTTGAGGTATCTCCACACTGATTTGCACTGTGGTTTCACCTGTCTTAGCTCCCACAAGCAGTGGAGCAGAATTCCTCTTTCCCCACACCCCTGACTGCACTTGCCATGGATTGATTTAATGATAGCAGCCATTTCTTTCTGGGGTGAGGTGGAATCTCAGCATTGTTTTCATTTCCATCTCTCAAATGACCAGTGATGTTTAATATTTTCTTCATATCTTTATTTGATATTTCTACTTCTTCATCTGAGAAATGTCTGTTCATTTCAGATTCCCAGCTATGAACTGGGTCTTTAAATTTGGGAGGTCTGACATTTTTAAGTTCTTTTTATATTCTGGATAGTAGATCTCTGTCTGAGGAACAGCTGGTAAAACATATTTCCTACGTTGTGGTTGGCTTTTCATTCTGTTGGTGTTTACTTTTGCTGTGCAGAAACTTTTAAAGAGAAGAAATCCCACTTTTTTTTTTTGCTAGTTCAAATATAACTGACATTCTGTTCATGAAATCTCCTCCTATGCCATTGTCTTTAAGAGTTCTACCTAGCTTCTCTTCCAGCCAGTTTAGTGCTTCTGTTTTAATTTTTAGATATTTAATTCATGTTGATTTCTTTCCAGTGCTCTGTGAAAGATATAGGTCTAGTTTTAATCTTTGGTAAGTTGAAATCCAGTTTTTCAAGCACCATTATGAAAGAGGCTCTTTCCTCCAGTGAGAGCGTATGGCTCTGTTGTTGAAGATGAGCTGGCTGAGTGTGCCTGGAGTTGTTTCTGCATCTTTTAATCTGTTCCACTGGTCCTTGGTTCTGTTTCTTTGCCAGTACCATGCTGTTCTTTGTTTTGTTTTATTTTGTTTTGTTTTTACACAGTAGCTTTGTAGTATAGTTTCAAGTTACGGATTGTGATAACTCCTACTTGTCTTTATTGCCTCGAATTGGTTTAGCTATTCTAGATCTCTTCTTGTTCCAAATGATTTTTTTTCTTTTGTACCAGGGATCAAATTTGGGACTTTGCACATGCAAAGCAGGCAGCAGAACCACTGAGCTAAATCCCTGGCCCTTGAAATTTTGGATTGTTTTCTCAAGCTCTGTGAGGTATGTTGTTCGGTTTTCAATTGGTATTTTTTTGAATCTATATAGCAGTTTTGGAAGTATGGCCCTTTACACTATGCTAACTCTTCCCACCCAGGAGCAGGGGATGTCTTTCCATTTTCTGATACTTTCTTCAATCTCTTTTTTCAGAGTGCTATAGTTTTCAGACTGGAGATCTTTGATTTCTCTTGTTAAGTTGATTCCTTATTTTCATTTTTTGAATGCTATTGTAAAAGGAATTGTTTGCCCCAATTGTTTCCCCTTGACTCTGTTTTCATGTACAAGATAGTTATTCTAACCTTTTGTATTTAATTTCTGTCATACCAGATGGTTGCATTCTGCTAGGCTTCCTGAGGCTGTGATTCTTGTTGCCATTGCCTAGGATATAGTTTAAAATCTTTCGGGATGCTGGTTTTGTATTCATGAAGTTCCTAAGTTTCTCTTTGTCAGGAAAGTATCTTGTTTTTGAATGATAGTATTTCAGGGTATCTCAGTCTTGGTTGGAGGTTGTTTTCCTTTAGAGCTTTAAATGCATCACCCCAGGCTCTTTTTGCCTTAAAAGTTTGTGTTGCAAAGTCTGATGTGAGTCTGATGTGCTTCCATTTTTATATCATTTATTATTTTTTTTTAAATGCATCACCCCAGGCTCTTTTTGCCTTAAAAGTTTGTGTTGCAAAGTCTGATGTGAGCCTGATGTGCTTCCATTTTTATATCATTTATTATTTTTCTGTGACTGCTTATAGAATTTTTTCTTCCAATGGGTTTCTGGAATCTTAACTATTATATACCTATGTGTAGATTTATTTTAATCATGGTTAGTTGGAGTCCTATATGCCACACTTATCTGTATGTGAAGCTTTTTCTTTTACTTTGGAAGTTTTCTGCCATTACTTCTGTGAGCAGCTTTTTAATGTTGTCTGCACTCTCTCCTGTTTCTTCATTGACTCCCATCAGTTTTACATTATTCTTCTTTGCATCATCTAGCAACTACTGGATTGATTTCTCATGGTCCTTTACTATTTTTAAGAAATTTTTTCATTTCTTTATCACTAACTGCTGTCTTATATTCTGTATCTGAAATTCTATATGCACATTGGCTCATTCTGGTGCCTAATGTTTCAGTGGGGTTTCTAATCTCTTTGGAGTTTGAAAATCTCTTTGTATTTCTTTTATGGATTTCATTTCTTTCCCATGTCAGGATTCCATCATGTTCCTCAGCTCCACCATTGTTTTTTATCTGTATCCATTCTAGATTTATTAATCACATCTTTCACTATGGGAAAAATCTCTGCTGTTACCTGACAAATTATTTCTTATTTCATTTTTCCAGATCCCCTTTTGTGTTCTGTTCAGGGAGTCCAGGCCACGGAGCATCAGTATTTCTATCTCACCTCCCTTTGGGGTTTTCTTAGTTGATCTGAAAGTCTGGTTTTGAGACCAGTTTATGTGTCTTCTTATTTCAACAGATGCAGCCTTCAGTGCCTTTGTTCAAGTAACTTTTTGCTCACCCAATGGTCTTCAATTCTCAGCAAGCCACTGAGGGGCCTTTTCTTTTCTGCTCACCAGTAAACTAACTCCTGTGTTCAGAACGGTGGCCTTCTGGCTCCCTGAGCTCACCTGTTTTCTGGGCAGGCTTCTGGCTGGGGCCTGTGCACACTTGGGATGGTTTCTAGGTGAGCCTCTTGCTGGGGCCTTTATGTGCTTGTTGTCTGGGAGGGCCTTTGCCTGGGGGCTGTGCTACCCAGTTCCTGTTGACTGAGCATGCTTTTGGCTAGGATCTCTGGGCACATATGGATGGTATTAGGCCTAGCCTCAGGTTGTTGCTTGTGCACCTGTGCAGCTCTTTATCAGGCGTGGCCTTGGCTGTGGCCATATCTATGGGGCAGGAATCTGGCTAAAGCTTGTGTACCTGTGCAGGTCTTTTCTGGGTGGGCCTTTGGTTTCTGCTGGTGTGCCCAAGGTTGGGTTGGGCAGAGCCCTGGCTGGGATCTGCCTCCAGCAGGCCATACTGGTCCACAGTGTTGCTCGCCAGGATCTGCCCACACTAACCCATGCTATGGCTGGGGTTCTGGATGAAGCTTGTGTGCCTAAATATTGAAGGCTTTGATGTCAAATGTTGGCAATGAATTGGGAAGAATATTGAAAGCAAATTACAGACACTGTTGTAAGTTCATTATTACTGGAAAGCTTTGCATGAGAAGAAAGGAAGGGACCTATCTGTGCCTCCACACACATTGCAAATACACGACTGTGACTTAGAGGAAACCTGCTAAAATTGTTGCACTATTATAAGAAACATACTTGAATGAAAAAGAACAGGTATATAGAATACCTGTTCAATTTAGTATACAAAAAGAAATAACAAGAAAATCTCTATATTTTAGGGGAAGGCTTTCTTCTAATAATTCACTAACTAAATTGGAATTTGCACTGCTAATTTCAAGGACATTCAGTGCTTTATTTACAAGATGAACTAATTCTTCATTTCAAATTTTTGACTATGTTTGCTATTGTTAAGGAATTATATGAAAACTCATTTTTGTATAAATTTAAAAACTTGTAACAATGTGGGATATATTAATTTGTGACTATTAAGAAAGTAATTTTTATTTAGTTTTGTTTTTTGTTACCAGGGATTGAATGCCGCTCCTTGCTCTTGTGAGGCTGGAGGCAGCACCACTGAGCTAAATGCCTGGCCCTTTAGTTTTATTTTTAACAAATGAACACTGACATCTACTTCAAACATGATTTTATTGATTCATTTCTGTTTTCCATTAAGTAAACTAAATGCTTACTATTGTGCGTCAACACCTGCACTCAGGACACAATCACCTTTGACCTTTGTTCTACCTTAGGAAATGTTCACTCATCACTTAGCCCAACTGAGAAATCAAGACCAACAGCTTCATGTTTGGAAGTCTGTAAACCCAAGCAGAAGCCTCACCCTAATACCCAGCACTTCCTCACAGGGGTCTTGGCAAACGCAGACCTCTGAGCTGGCCTGGGCCAACACCCTTGTCCTGCTTCCAGCTGCCGACCTCAGGACGTGGAGCTGAGTTCTCGTCACCCTGCAGGTCCTGCCTGCAGGCTGAGCTCAGGGGATCACAGAACCCAGGGCTTTCAATGGGGGAGCTGGTATGTGCAGAGGGGGAGCGGAGGAGGACTAGGCTGCAGAGGGTGGTCAGCCGGGCAGGGAGGAACCACAACATGCACCCAGACACAGGCCCTGGCCTCAGCTCCTGCCTGCCAGGGACTTCCAGACATAGACACCACGAGGCTGACGGAGACATGGACGTACTCTGGGACAGCTCCAAGTTGTGCTCGGGCCGGAATAGCCTGAGGAGGAATGTAAGAGAAGTTGGCACAGTGGGAACCAAACTCCTGAGGACCCCTCCCCCCTGGTCAGCTTTGCAGACCAAAACTCCTTGGCAGAGGGGGCTGGAAGAGGAGAGGAGGGGTGAGCTCTGCCTGGTGAGTTGCTGGTTAGAGTGGGGTCGGAGCCATGCACAGGCGCAGGTGCACAGGGCAGGGTCAGGTGGGGAGGGGGCAGGTGTGCAGAGGAGAGGGAACACAGCATGTTGCCTTCTGCTCAGGTGCTCAGTGCAATCACCAGGCTCAGCAATGGGGTGGGGGCAGGGCACGATGGATCCTGGGTGTTGCGGCATCTGTAATGTGTGGGTGAGGAAAGGCGGGTGCCTGGAGGCCTCCTGCCACTGAAGCAGTGACTCAGACAGGCACCTGGGCAGTGGATTGGCGCCCTCATCTCTGTTGCCCATGACAGTTTTACAGAACAGGTTAGAGTGGGGGCGTTGGCAGGGGAACAAAGATCAGAGTGGCTTAGAGATGTGGATCCTGTTAGGATGATCGAGGTACTGATGTCACCACAGCAGTGGAGGAAGCACTAAGATCTCCCAAGTTCCCACAAGTCGGGCGTTGGTGTGACAGAGAAGAGTAAGGGCTGGTTCAGTGCAGTACTTCTGAATGCTGGAGAAAGTGTGCATTTGCCATCAGAGCTGTAAACTGCAGAGAAAAGCAAGGCCGCTTCAGTTTAAGGGCATCACTTTGTGGTGTGGAACCAAATGTAGACTCGCTCCCCAGTGAGCTTCACTGTGCAGGCTGTGAGGGCTGGGTTGGCCATGGAACCAGCTCGCGGAGTGGGGAAGCCCACAGCCTTGTGTGTTGCTGTGCTCCTGACACAGACCTTGGTACAGGTCCTGTGCTCTGCCCCTTCCTACCTGGAGCTGCTCCCAGCTCTACTTTCCAGCCACCAAGGACTGAGCGGCTTTCCTCAGCCCCACAAGGCCGGCCTGGTGCTTCAGCTCTAGAGCCCGCAGTCCTGATCCAAACTTCTGCAGTGGGACTCAGCCGAACATTTCCTCCTGCAGGCTGTGGAGTCAGGTGTCAGGCCCAGCTCACCCACGGCACCTACCGCACTGTCCTGGTGTCTGTGTGTGAGACTCTTCAGTCACCTTCTTGGGAAAGAAGAAAAGGCTTTTCAGTTTGATCAAGGTCGGGGAAGACAAGCTGACATTTGTAGATGAAAGGGTTGAATGTGTTCTAGATGTGCCAGCTTCACTGTGATGTATATAGCATCAGCCTGACTGAAATGTTGACGTGATCCTGGTTCTGAGCTTATTAACTACACATAAGAGAACACAAGCAAAAGGATAAATGACGAAGCGATTGAATACTTTCCTGCTTATGCATCTCCATGAGTGTGGTGTAATGTTAGTAGCAAATTATCAAAATATGGATTTGTTACACTAGTTAATCATTACTTGTAGGAAACAAGTTTTCTGATGGAGGTGGTCTCCCGCTTTACACTTTGCTCCAAACAGCAAGAGTAAGTTTTCTGGGAAGGGGCCTATATCTGCCACCTCCCTGTTTTTCTGCTCCTCTTCTTTTGACCCAACAGTGAATTTAACTCATACTCGATAGTTGCTTAGTAATGAATAAGTTAAAAATATCATATGCTTTCCTGAGTATAAAGAGTTTGCCTAATTGTGTAATCGTATAGGATGTTCTTCGAAAACAAAGAACATAGTGATTCGTCGCTGATTTCCTTGTAGGTATTAGTTATTTCCCCTAAGTACTCCAGTAATGACCATTAATAATGAAAAGTTAAAAATTGCACCAATAAAAAGGAAAAGCCTCCCCACCCCTATATAATCATGCCTTGATAGTGGGTCAGGGCCTTCAGTTGGAAGCCGCTGTGACGGTGCCACTGGAGGAGGTCCAGGCTCAAGCTTGCCATCAGCTCCTCGTGTGTTTGCATCAGAGGAGATTCCTGGGTGGTCTGCTTGGGGATTTTGTGACTTGGGTACATTGCTCAGCCTATCAGGTGCTTACTATCTAAAATTTGGGAATACATGAACAGTTTTCAAGTAATTTTATATGCAGCTTAAAGCATTTTTCTATTGTCAGATGAAGGATTTAAAAGAGATTTCTTTTTCTAAACCACATTTTTCTCAGAACCTGTGCTTCACACATGTTGTTAAAATGCAGAATGCTCCTTCATCTCTTTTCCTCTGAGAGCAGCTCACCTGTGTGAAATCATGGACCATAGGAGATTTCATTCTCTAGGGCTCCTTGACCACACCACAGGCCACCACAGTCTCTTTGGGGTTGTCCTAGCAGCTATGATCCCCTCCCTCCTTGGCAATGGCCTCATGGTGCTCCTGATTCACCAGGACCCCCGGCTGCACACACCCATGTACTTCCTGCTGAGCCACCTCTCCCGCATGGACACTGTGCTCATCTCCACCATCGTGCCCAAGATGGTGTCTGCCTACTTGACAGGAAGAAAGTCCATCTCCCCAGTGGGCTGTGGGCTACAGATCTTCTTCCAGACAACTGGGGGTGCAGAGTGCTTCCTTCTAGCTGCCATGTCCTGTGATCGCTATGTGGCTGTGTGCCACCCGCTGCGGTATGCCACCCTCATGAGCTGGCCCTTGTGTCTGAGAATGGCTTTGGAGTCCTGGCTCCTGGGGGCAGCTGATGGAGTCATGCAGGCTGCTGTTTTCCTGAGCTTCCCCTTCTGCAACGGACACGAGATTGACCATTTCTTCTGTGAGGCCCCCACACTGGTGCGCTTGGCCTGCAGTGACACCTCTGCCTTTGAGTATGTCATGTACATCTGCTGCGTGCTGATGCTGCTCATCCCCTTGTCCCTCATCCTGACATCCTCCGGCCTCCTCCTCACTGCTGTCCTGCAAATGCACTCCACAGAAGCCCGCAAGAAGGCCTCTGCCACCTGCATCTCCCATTTGTCTGTGGGGGTGCTGTATTATGGTGCTGCCATCGTCATCTACATGAGACCCAAATCCTGCAGATTAGCTAAACATGGTAAGGTGGTGTCTGCCTTCTACACCATCTTCACCCCTATGATGAACCCTGTGATCTATAGTATGAGGAACAGGGAGGTCAAGGGAGCCTGGGGAAGTGTCTGAGCCGGTGTGCCTGTGCTGCCTTAATGGGACTGATAGTGTATTTATTTGTTTAAACATTGAAAGCGGCGTAAAGCGTGTGTTCAGGTTTTTTCTCTTTACAGAGGCAGCACACACACATACACTTACATACACACCCATAAGTATTTATTGGGTTATTTACTTATTTATTTTTATCTTTTTGGTACCAGGGATCAGTCTTGGGACCTTACGCTTGTGAGGCAGGCAGCGGAGCCACTGAGCTAAATTCCCAGCCCCTATATATCTATTTTTTGATGTTTGTTTCACAGTTTGGAGGCATCTTTTGGGTGTGGCTTTATTTACTGTGGTTTCACTACCACATCAACTTGTGCTTTGGCAAAACTATGCATCATAAATCTGATATAAATTTTCATGTGAATTCAGACAATATATTTCTGTTAAAATCAAAAGTATAGCAATTTTGAGGACTGATTATTAACATTTATATAAATGAAGGTATAATTTGCACACAGTTCCATGGCCATATCTGAGGTTTCCCTTCTACCAGTTCAACCAAGTGCCTGCCCTTGGAACACACTCACACACTCACACATACTCTCACACAATCAGAGACACCACTTCCATCTCCTCAGAGTGGTCTTTCAATCTTGGGCCAGTGCAAACCCACACCCAGCACAAAGCCACTGTCTGACTTCCACCTGTGTTCTTCAGTAGGCTCTTTCAAAATTCCATACTAATGCAATCGAACAGTAGATCTTTACCGTATGTTGACTTTTCTTCGGTAAGCATCATGAGTTTTACAGTACAGCCCACGTTTTCCTCCTGTTGTCAGTTGGCACTGCTGGGTGGCCTTGCAGTACTCCCTGGTCAGTGTGCTGTATTACTGAGTGAGAGCCCATTGTTTGGCTAGAGGATATCGGTCCTACCTTTGGCCTGGATCCGTTATGACGGATGCTCCTGCAAGCCTCTCTTGTGTGATACGTTCATTTTTTGGTGCATATATAAAGAAGTTTTTGTGAACTATTTTGAAAGTGTTTGTTTAATTTTGGGCTCTGGCCATGAGCTAACACAAATGCTAATTTCCCCTGATATTAGCAAACTCCTCAGTTAAGCCGATTTAAATGAGTTTCTAGTAACTTAGGATGTTTTCCATTTGAATTTCCCAAAAGGAACATTAGTAAGGATTTAAAAGTTACCTTACTGCCTATTTTTATGCATTGTTCTGGGAAGTATGTTGATTTTTGAAAATGTGGTATATAGATGCTGCAAAAGCAAATGCAACTATTCACTCAATATCAGAAAATAAATGACTTAATAAGACTATTCACATGTTTTCAAATACAGGTATGTTCTTGGTTACTTGGCATGATCAAGGGTGTCCTGACCTATCCGTTCTAGTTCATTGACTTAACTTAGTGATCTTAACGACTGTGATGATACATGAACTGTCTCTCCCACCCTCCCCATTCAGCTGCAGAAGGTCAGTGTCTTCATTTTAGCTGTAATGTATCAAACATAATGTTCCTGCATGGGGAAATGATGTCGCTGAGTATCTGAGACCTTTTCACATGAGAAATATTTTTGCCTGAAATATGAAAGGATTTAAAAGAAGAAAAATGGGGGCTCAGATGTTCAGGGAATCTGTCTTATCTTTCCTTAGCAAATTATTGAACAAGTATAATAATTTTTAAGCAATAAACGATGCTTTTAAGAGACTGTAGATTTTACAAGGGAAACGATTATGGTCATAGGTTCCTTTTATATCTTCTTAAATCTGTATTTATTAACATTCTAAGCTCAAAGCAAAGGGTTTAAAAATGAGACATTTGAAGACGAATCGAGTCATTCCTCTGCCGAGCCTCCTCTGCAGCTGCTCTGAGCCCCTTTCCGTCTCCCTTCCCTCACAGCGATGATGGCATCGCTCCGCTCTCCTGGGGTAGAAAGCCTAGAAGAGTCTGGTCAGACGCTGTCAGGAAACGCAGACCAGAGACCGCGCTGGGGTCCTGCGGTTGTTCCAGAAGCGCAGCCTGGTCGCACCACCCTGTGCCTCTGGGCGGGGCTTCGTCCTCACTCCGGAACTGTCAGAGTCCGTGCGCAAGATGGGTCAGTGTCAAAGGCCGGGTCCATGTCTGCGGGGGGTGGGCCACGAATGGCTTCGAGACGTGTTGTTAATTCTGATGAAAACTGGTTAGAGCCCTGACCTGGAGCTCTGGTGGGAAAGGTGACAGCCTGCTGAGCACCTGCTCACATGCAGGTTCGAGGGAGGGAAGGTCGTCCTAGAGGTGCAATGCCAGAGGGACCACACCGCCTGAAGCTCTGGACTGCCCCGGCCACCCACTCGCCCAGGTGACAGGCTTCTGCGGCTGCCCCTCCAGCATGTCTACAACGCTGGGGGTGTAGGTACAGGGCCCACGGGCCCCGTCGAGACCGGGCTCTCACCCCTGGCATGGCGGGCACCTCTGCCCCAGTGTCACCACTGAATAAAGTCTGCTGCGCGTACCATGAAGCTCGAGGGAAGCTCTGCCTGGGAACAGCGTGGGCGTCCGCTCAGGAATACCTCGGTCAGAGATGTTCTTCTTGGCCAGGTTGCTGGTGACAACAAAATCACCCAGCCATGGAAGCAGCTGCTTTCCCTGCTCCGGAATCACCCTGAGTGTCCGGCCAGGTCGGTGCCGGCTGGGCCCGTGGTGGATTGGCACACGGTTCAGACCGCTTGGAAGTCTGCTGAGCTGGGAGAAAAGGCTGATCCCTGGTCTGGGCCCGAGGGTCTTGAAATCTGTTGATGCTGCTTCATTGACAGGATTCCAGGCCAGCCTGTGGCGGGGGGCTTCTCTGACTCTCCTCCTCCGGGTCTTTTCCTGTTTGCAACATGAAACTATGCGTGGGTGGCATGAAACCATGGACAGGAGGCTGGGGAGCTGGGCCAGGCACCAAGTCTCCCAGAAAACTCACAAAGCTATAGGCGTATTATCCCTAGGCCCTGCCACCCCAGGCTTAACCAGAGGCTGAAGACGGGTCTCAGAGCTGTTTCTCCTATTGGCCATTTAAGGGTAAAGGTGAAAGACTGGTTAATGATGAGAAAGCCTGCAGAAGGAAAGAATGCTTCGTGGACCATTGATTCTTTGGGTGTTTCAGGCAGTTCAAATTATTAGCTTTTACAATCAACACTTTTGAACAGAAACAACTTGGCCAAAAATCTGTTATAGAATTTATACATGCATTAAAACAAAGTTTCATATTAAAAAAAGGAGGAGGAGGAGGAGGACAGGATGCAGAAGTGTACAGGAAGTAGTTGCATTTATGTATGTCCTGGACAACAGATGCTTCTTCCTGATCTTAATCATTTCAGCCCAGGCTGAGCCAGGCTCCGTCCCTTTACCCTGTGACAACCAGATTCCTGTGTGGCCCCAGGGACAAATGCTGAAGCCAATTTCCAGCTTCTTCTCAGCATACCCTGAGTCCCTCTGCTCCTGCTGCCCTAGGCAGAGGTGGCAGTGTTCTCCCCAGAAGCCTCAGCCCAAGGGAATTCAGCAAGAGGGGGGGTCTGCATTTGTTCCTCCCCTGCTCCCAAGCCCCTTATCCCCTGTCCCCAGCCTTGGTCTCAGCACGTGTCCCCGAGGTTCCCCACTCCTGGGGACGCTCAGGCAGCAGCCCTGACTGGGCTCAGTGTGCAGACATCTGAAGTTCTGGGCCCTGGTAGGTCAATGTGGATGCAGCCAGGGTCCATGCCGCATGGAGCCTGCTGGAGAGGTCACAGTGCACAGTGGGGCAGGACAGCTGTGGGGGTCTGGATGCTGCTCTTTCTGGAGCCCTGGATGCCTGGTCAGAGCAGCAGGGTTGGCTGAAAATTAGAGGGAGCCATGATGTCCCTTCTTGCTGAAATCCTAAAGAAGGTACTTCCTTCCCATTGAGTTATACTTGTATTACTTGATTTTATTGCATTTCAGCCTGAATCTCCTTACCCAGTCTTCCTATCTTGTTTCCTCCTTCCTCTTTAAATGTTCTCTCTGGTAAATAAAGGCTTAATTCTATGTTCTCAGAACTCAGAGATAAGAGGCCAAGCAGGGCAGCTGCAGAAAGACTGGCAGCACCAGCAGGGCATTGTGCAGCTCTGTTCCGGGCTCACGGTGCAGGGTGGGCTCCCCACAGAACTTGATGCTGTCTCTGTCTCTTCCTGACAGCAGCCCTCAGGCACAGCCTGTTGCCTCCTGGGTGCAAGGGAGGATTGATTCTTTGTCACTGTTTAATAGAAATTCTTTGCAGGTGTAGTTCGTAACTGATCAGTGTGTTGTGCTCATAGGAAGTACATTGTGTTTTCTGTCTATTGTGATGTATATAAAGCGCTCATTTGTCTTTTATCAAAGAAATAAGAAACAGATAATTTTTATTTTTGAAACATAACTTCAGTGGGAATGATTCTCCATTTCCCAGGCTAGATCTGGGTCATATCTATTACACAATATTCTGTATCGAGTATTTAAAAATAACTGGCTTTATTCGCACACAGTGTGTCCATTCAGCGTATGATTTCTGCTTCTCTCCTGGGTCTGTCATGCCTCTGTTTGCATTACTACTAAAAGGAAGTGTTTCAGTCATTTGCTGATTTTCCTAGTAAGTCTTATATGTGAAATTTTTATGACAGAAGTTACAGTGATTGTGCCAGGTAGTTCACTGATATAGAAAGTTTACTGAAATTCACAAGCTAAAAGTACAATCTCTTACAATTTGCAATATTCAGGTAAATGTATTATGTTCCAGGAATTTCCTATCTGATATTTTGAAGCAAATCATTTACAAAAGTCAATTTTATGCTATTTTATCTTTTACTTACTTACAGTAAAAGTTTTTTAAAGAAATTATCCTATGATCCTAGAAAAACAAATCAACATTTTTATTGTGCAGTTGAAACAATACTAGTGAACAGGGCCCCTTACTGAATGTGTATGTGATGTGATGTAACCATAGGGGATATCTCTAATAAAATTTTCTGATTATCACTAAGTTGATAAACATGTGGACTATTTAAAGCACTCACATGACTACCAAATGATTGACAGAGTCGGGGTGTGTGCAG